TCTTTCCTAAGCTGTGGCAAGGAAGAGGCTGTAGAAATGCCCTTGGAGGTATTTTAGTGGCTTTACTTTTGATGCAGATGGGCAAGCATGAATCCATTTGAAGTGATACTAGACTCAAAGTGAGGTTTGGAGTTCATTTACCTTTGGGCCATCTGATTTTGTGGACTAAACCAACAGTATATTAATGCTACTCTGGTCTAGAAATCTGTGTTTGAAGGTGTAGGGTCAGAAATCTTTATTTGTGAGTGATCTCTTCAATCTGGAAAATACTGCAGGTACTTGGGGGAGGAGGGGGAGTGAAGAGAGAACTGAGGACTGTGGAACTAGTAAAAATTTAATCTTACAACACCAACCCAGACTAGACTCCAAGTGTTGTTTCTTCCTTTTGTTATCACCAGTAATGAAGACCTTGAGTCTGTTCTGCCCATTGGGTGCTAAGGTAGCTGTGGTGCTTGTCATTGTCCATGCAGAGATAGGTCTGAAAACTAGTGAATTATTATCTTCCACCTATAGCTTTAACAGAATTGTGCTTCCTTTCTCTCCCTCTCAGCTCTGTTGGCTAGCACCCAACAGGCATAAATAAATCTATTTTTGTCAGCTGTGACAGCAGATATGACTCAAAATTCACACAGCGCAGATCTGCTGAGTAAGAAGGTGGGGATTTTTTTGCACATAATTGCTTTTTAGACTAAAGCTGCACTTTGGTACAATCAAATCTCTGGAGTGTTAGCAACAAGTAGCTGATCAGGGCCAAAGTGCTGGGTTCTTATGGAATAACTTGAGCACAGTGTGCAGGTACCATGCTGTAGTTTGAACTTAGAGAAGGCCTGGTGGCTGTGGTGCAGTAACCTTCTGGACCCGAGCTGCTCATTGGCTCTGCTGGAAGTTTGCTTTGTTTATGTACCATATGTACCTTCCTGATTGTTACCCTTGATGAAAGCTCAGCTAGGGATCAGTTTAATTTTCATCATTCTGCCTAAATTTAGACCTGCGGTGCTGTCGGGGGTCAGGATGGGCAGGACATCTTGCTGTGTTGATGCTGCTGGGCTTGCAAAAGCAGAATTAGTTTTCTTTTGCTAACTTGGCTACAAATAGGACCCAGCAATCATTGTGTGAAGGCTCTCCATCTCTCTGTCTATTTAAAGGAAATAATCAGTATACATTTAGACACTTTAAATTTATTCTGAAAGGTTTGCTTTGTAAGGCAAATCTTGTTTAAGAGATGGTACATCTACTGGGGGAGTGATATCTCCAGGGCTGAAACCCCACCAGACCATTGAGTGTGTGGGTTGGGGAGTGTGTCTAGGTCAGACTGTGCATTGATTTCTGTTTTCACATAGCCAGGAGCAGTCTTTAGTTGATCTATTACACAGAGTATTACAGCTGCAAGCAGTGTCAAGTGTCTCAGCATCCATGTACACTTATTTACTGATCCCCATCGTTCACATAGTGTCACGGTGTAACCCTCATGGCCAACGAGTCACATTTAGAAACTTACCTCTCAACACCATCTTCTGCATTAGCCACACAACCACCCCTCCTTCCACAGCTGCAGCAGGGCCATGTGTGATACACCCTGGCCTCAGTAAGCATTGGTTTTGGAGAAACTTGCTGATTTCTAAGTTTGTTTCTTCCCCTCCCTCTTTAATCTTCCAGCTGACTTTGGCTTCTGTGCCCAGATCACCCCCGAGCAGAGCAAACGCAGCACCATGGTGGGGACCCCGTACTGGATGGCGCCTGAAGTGGTGACGCGGAAAGCGTACGGACCCAAAGTGGATATCTGGTCGCTGGGGATAATGGCCATTGAGATGATTGAAGGAGAGCCTCCCTACCTCAATGAGAACCCCCTGAGAGTAAGTGAAAAACTTTTGCCCTTGGGTCTTCACTAAGCCCGTGGGTGAAATTAGGCTCTAAAAGAGGCAGGTGAATCCGCCAGTGCCATTTCAGCACCTGCAGCTCCTTATCTCCTCAGATGTCGTAGAGAGAAGGTCAATGTAGTTTTAGTTGAAGCTATAGCTGGCTCTGGGTGGCAGGGTTCCTCCTGTGCAGACCTTCTGGTCAGCTCTGATGAGTTAGGTCATGCACACTCATAATTTCCCACTTTCTGGAGGCACTGATCAAGGAAGTACCTGATGGCACCAAAGCACTTGACTTCTTGAATCCTTGTGCCCTCTGAATGGGGAAGAGTTTTCCTTGAGTTCAAAAATATGACATGATACTATTCTATAAACAGCTTTTTCCTTCTGGCAGATTGTTCCTCCTTACATGCTCCAAATAAAGCCTCAAGCTTTGTAAGTCTTTAGATGGGGCTTAAGCCTCCTGATGTCTTTCCTTTGTGCAGTTTCTAATGAAAGGGGTGATGCTGTTGGTTTGTTTGGATGTGGCTGCTCTTAATGTAAGCCGAGTTTATCACTTCTCCCTCAGCTACACAGGATGAGGGGATCTAGAAAAAATCTATTTAATTTTTGCCTCCATCTCTTGCACTGGAAGTGGGTTTGGGAAGAGAAGAGTGGCAGGAAAGACCCTGGGTGTCGAGTTAAACAAGGGCAGTTAATGAACAGTGCTTTGGACTCACGGGACTCGACTTGTGCCAATTCCCAGGCTGTCAGACTGCTCCCATGGGCTGCCTGAGTGCTGGGCTCAAAGGGCCTGCACAGTAACCAGTCTCTGACAGATTTCCGTTTCCTTTGAAAATCCATCCAGGAAGTTTCTTGCATGAAACTCTGAAATGAATGAATTCTGAGTCACTTGATTCTCAAAGGGGTGTGTGTGTGTGTGTATGCTTCTCCCTCAAGGAGTAAGAAAACTGCCTGTTTCTTCAGGATGTTGAAACCTTTTAGAGGGTCTGCTAGACATCTTTTGTAAGGAGCATCTTTATAATACTGACGTTTTAGGCCCTGTGCACTCAGATTACTGACAGAACAGAATCTCCTATTTATTCAGGGGTGCCTTCCCATGAGGATATAGTTATTGCAGGAGTCTAGCACTGGTAGAGTCATGCCAGTGAACTTCCCTATGTAAACATGGTCTGGAATGTTGTTTTTGTCCTCCTAATCCCTTGGGAGGGCTGCAGGATCCAAACCCAGATTATGAGCATAGAACAATAAAGGATTGGATCCCGTCCACATAAAAATAGGGCTGGCAGCTATTCTCTTTGCTGAAACTTAAGCATTGATTAGCCACCCTGATAAGATGGGATTTTTATTCTCCCCATTGAACTGGGGAGAGGAGAAATGGGTATCTCTGGCATCCAGGGGTGGAATTTAACCTTCATAACTTCCTGTTTCTTTGGTGCCTGTTTTTGCTCTAGGCCCTGTATCTCATTGCTACAAACGGGACCCCAGAGCTACAGAATCCAGAAAAGCTTTCACCTATATTCCGAGACTTCTTAAATCGCTGTCTTGAAATGGATGTGGAAAAAAGAGGCTCTGCAAAAGAGCTGCTCCAGGTAGGTGGTGGGGAGCAGGGCTGCATCGAGGTAATCTTGCAGCCCCAAGTGAGGCCAGGCATATGGAGAGACCTTGTTTGGCGTCTTGAATACTGCATCAGCTGAAGGCACAAGCACAGCTGAGGTAACCTGCCAGAAAGAAAAATAAAACAACCCAAAACCTAAATCTGTAATAAAGGGTTAACAAACTACTCCCCTTTATCCCCAAACCAGGACAAACCTGTACTTGCTACTAGCATCAGCTGTGCGGTGTCTTCTGTAACAAACTACACATAATAGCTGTGCCCCAGGCCTGGCAAATGCTGAGCCCCTGAATCCCTGTGGCTTCTTCACACATCTGGCCTTGACATCTGTATGTGTTTTCAAGGTCTGGCTGTGCTTGTTGTGATTTGGACAGCAGGAGGACTTCTAGCTAATGGACGTTCTGGTTGCCTCCCTTCTAGTTGAGGGATTGCAAAGGTCTTTGGGACACGCATGGCTTGCAGTCACTGGGGCAGTTTGGCATTGCCACATTTTGTCAGATACTTCTCCTTACAGAGGTGATGGAACAAAGCTTGTGAGGTATCTTAATCATAGAATGGTTTGGGTTGGAAGAGACCTTTAAAGATCCTCTAGTCCAACACCTCTGCCATGGGCAGGGACAACTTTCACTAGACCAGGTTGCTCAAAGCCTCATCCAACCTGACCTTGAACACTCCCAATGATGGAGCATTGGAACTTCTCCGGGAAACCTGTCACAGTGTCTCATCAGCTATTTCACTGAAAACCTGGTGTCTTAATCTGAACTCTTGATAAAAGAGGAAGGCCAAGCTACCAGGCATTTATCAACATGGATGAGAAGAATGGTTTGCATGTTCCTTCTGCCAGATTTGCCATGAGGGTGGAAAATGCAGCTCTTTGTAAAATAGATCTGTGATCAGGGGCACTCAGACCTGAACTGTGAGACAGTTCCATTTTATATTCTCCTTTCTTTCCACTAGATTGTCTAGCAGGTTCTGGTTTAGATACATTGCTGTCTTCTGAGGCTGTAATGAAGCATTAATCACTGGCAGTAATTGAAAGATCACTTTCTCCTGATCTTTCCAGCCCCAAAATATCAGAGAGCAGTAATGTTCTGTTCCTTCAGTCAGGAGAACATTTCGACTGTAACATTTCTGCCTGGTTTTAACTACCTTTTAGCCTCTGCTTACTTTTTTTTTCCATCTCTGAAACATGTTGTGTTGGGCGATTGGTCCCTTCTGATGCTGAGAACTCCTGTAGGTTATAGCTGCTTTTTGTTTTCAGAAGAGCTTGTGGACTTGCCCCATATGCCTTCACTCTCCCCTGAGAGCTGTTTTGATAATCAATATTGTTTTACTTATCAGAACACCTTGTGTAGGAGTCCAGCTGAACAGTTCTGTGTTGCACACTCTGTGCTGCTACTCTCCTAAATTCCAGCTGCTTTGTGCAGACTTGTAATATTTGTAGAAGATGAAGGCAATGCTTTCACTAGACTTGTGACAGCAGGGAAGAGAGAAATGAGAGGTGATTCTTGCATGAAGCCCCATGCCTTGTGTTTGAAGCACACAGGTTGTTTTTAGTATACCTTCCATCCACACAGGATTTCACTATAGATTTTGCAAGGCTTCATAATCCCCCAGGGGATTGCCAGGTTTTGCTTGGTCTTGAAGATGTACAAACATTGGAGAATTTAGCATGTGTTGGGTACAAATCTGTTCGTTGCTTCAGACAAACCCCAGAAGTTTGTGGTGGTAACAGACCTTTTGATTTCACCTCTTCAGGGTTTTGAGCAGGTTGTTAGACTTTTTATGGGTCTTGGTGCCAATGTTTTGGGTAGCCACTAGACTTCTGGGGCGTATCCTGAAAAATTTAACCCTTTTTCTTTCTTCTTCCTCTTCCTAGCACCAATTCCTGAAAATTGCAAAGCCTCTATCTAGTCTCACTCCTCTGATTATTGCAGCTAAAGAGGCAGCCAAGAACAACCATTAAAGCAGTGGAGTCGACACAGTCATCGGGTCAAGACTTTTAGACGTTCATGTTAGAGACTGAATTACCTGCCCCTGTCCCCTTCTGCTCCTTCCTCACAGGGGTGTTCTTAAAACTGTGATCTGCCCTGAAGGGTGGCAGAGGTTTTGTTCTCTGAACGTGGAAGGGCACACAACGGGGGCACTGCTGACCTTATGTAGCAAGATGTCTTTCCATCCTTGTGATGGGGGTGAAAGAGGAAGAGTATTTTGTATGGTTGAGAAGACCTTTCTGAGAATGGCTGAACCTGAGCTACACGTAGCAAAGCCAGTTTGACTTCCTATTTCTTACTGTGTTTGGTTGTTTTTTTTTTGTTTTGTTTTGTTTTGTTTTGTTTTTTTAATAATGTGGAGCCTTAGACCACGTTTATCTTGATAAATTAAATCTTTTGCTGGCTGGACTTTTCCTGCTTCTCCCAAACTGCTATTACACCACGGAGGCTGCACCGTGCTTTGGATGGCTTGAGGAGGGGAGGAAGGAGACAGCAGAACTGTGAACAGCTGTAACAACTGAGAAGGGGAATGAGGGTGTGAATCAACATCCCTCCTACAGCACTGCTGGATGCATCGGGGGAGCATGGAGAAAGCCTCTGTGTGCTTCCTGCAACCCTTGGAGAACTTCATTCAAGGGTGATTTGCCAGATTTTGTGAATTGGAACCCCCTCCCTCCCCCCTTTAGTTTCAACTTGATTAGTTAAGCAAATCTCAAACATTTCTGATGTTCTAGAAGGTAAATCACAGGAAAAATTGTGAGAGAGCTCTTTTAGGGTTATTTTATCAGTGCTCTGAGGCTTCTTAGAGACCCTTGCCCTGTATGATAAAGCAAACAGAGCAGTTACTATTCTAAAGATAAGGTTTGCCTGCAAAACGATGTTGAAAACTCTTCTTAGAGCAAGTCCAATGGAAAACGAACTGATGATGGATGCTGCTTTCTCTTGGTGACATGGGGACGTTCATTTTTTGAAATGATAGTTGTTTCTTTATGCTACTGAGTCCATTGGTTGCTAATAGTCTGTAAAACAACAGGAAAATGGGACCTACTAGAGGGGTTGGTTGTAAACACTGGGCTTATGTTCAACTGTATACTGATTTTTAATAAAATGACTGCTGCATTTTTTAATTTGGGTTAGAGGGGAGATTGGAGAATTCAGTGTAACCAGAGAAGTCTGTCAGATGGGATTATTGTTCATACTGTCTTTGGGTGCTTGAATGTGTTGGATAATGTAATATAACCTTATCTCTTACCTCTTTGTCTGTAGTCCTTTGGTATAGCAAGTGACTCTCAAGGGAGTAGCTTTACACAGAGAGAAAATCAAGACAAGATGTGTGTTACATCTGGAGGAGAGCTGCTTTCTCTGTACTGCATTGGTCATTTATGGGATGAGTGTAATCTCATTCTGTAGTAACCTGTCATCTCTCTCCAAAGCACTTGTGCTGCACAGAAACTCCTTCCTGCTTCTCAGTGAGATCTGCTGCTGGCTCAGCCCTTTGCCCCCTGCACCTGGGTTTGAATTTAAACCTATTTTTCCCATCAGCTTCACAATACATGACAGCTCTTACACTGGTTTTACTGGGTGTAGATAGTTTGTGAGGCCTTTTGCTTCTGTGGTGCTTTCTCCCATCCTTTCCACTGCAGGGTGATAACTTCTTGACACCCACTGAAGTGCATTGCCCAGATCTGCAGCCGCTCTCCCTTTGTGTGCATAGTTTTCATCTCAGTGTGATATAAAGCGTTTCCCCTCACGGCTTGTGTTCAGGAATGAATTCCTTGGGCAAAATGGTGAAGCTGCCAGGCTGGAGAGGGATATGGTCTACTGATGAGCTTCTCTGCTTGGAACTTAGGTGGAGGTTGTGAAATGGGAGGCTACTACCCTTGAAAAATTCCCTTTGATAAGGACTTTGTTTATATTTCCTCAGGAGATGTCATATGTGGGAAGAAAGGAAATGGGGACTAGTTCTCACTTCATCTGAAATCTCATAAGGCTCTGGTCTTACAGATTGAGCAACTGACATTTCACTGACATTTAAATCTGATCCACAAAGGTATTGTTTAGTGTTTCTGCCTTCTCTCCCTTTCCTTGAGTTGAGAACCTTAGTGCGGATGTACCCTATCCGTGAGCACACTCATGAGCTTGGTCCTGCTCAGCAGGATTTCTGCTAAATTTCCCCAGAGAAGGTAGAAGAGGTTATTTGTATGTGTTTTAAGTTGCTCTTCTGGATTTTCTATTGCAAAATGGATAGGAATCAACACAAATGACTGTTTATCCCTCTTCTTATGGTTGTGATGTTCTTCTGTCTCGTTGACTTCCACTTTGAATTTGCCCTGCCTGTTTTCCTGGTTTCTGTGAGCTGCTTGAGAGGGGGTTTGCCAAAAGCCTGTTGTTCTCCACTGGAAGCTGGAAGACTGTGACCATAGACATGTGTCATCTTGTCCCAGGCTTTTTCTCCCCACCAGTTATGGGTGGGAAAAGAAGGTGACTTCTGCGTGTGCCTGGACCTAGTTGCAAGTTAAGGGGCACATCCTGTTTTTATGTTCTCAGAAAGTCTTACAAAATTTTGTAACTACCCTAAGCTCAGGAGAATGGGATTCTTTTGCTGCTGTTGTTGTGCAATAAATCCTTTCCCCCATGCTCCCTCCCTCTGCACATCACCCAGCGTCGGCTCTTGGCCTCCACCTAGACCTTTGTGGCACCTTCCTTTCTACAGAGGGCTCTTAAATAGCAACTCTGACTTAAAAATTAAACTCTGGGGCTTCTATTTCTGAGAACATCTTGACTCTGCTGTGATTTGAAAGTGACTCCAACTAGAGAATTTCTCCGGTGGCTTTGCTTTTTTTTTTTATTCTATTTTTACATACTCAATGAAGTGATTTGCCTGAGTTGAAACCATTTTTGATCACAGCTCTTATTTATTTTCCTATTGATATTAAAGTCTCTTTCCTATATTAGAACATAAAATATTCAATTGTTTGAGTATCCTTTCAGAAAATTTGCTTTATTTTGCGGGAATCTTAAGCAATTTTGAAATTATATAAGAGGCTATAGCTTATAGTGGGCTTGGTGGATGAAGAGGCTAAAACTCATCTTCTTTTCCAAAAGACAGAAGATTGTCATATTTAAAAAGCAACTAGTAGCTTCAACAAGACATTTCCTGTATTTCAAGAACGAGCATTGATTTGCAGTACTTTAGGTTTTCTTTAAACAAGCGATTGACTTGGAGTTCACCAGGGCCAAGAGTTTGTGTGTGGGAGGAGCACACAGACCCCGCATGCCTTCAAGAAGGGAAGTCTGTGATGCTGAGAGTGAAGAGCAAGGGCAGGGATGGAGAGGAGGGCAGAACTTGCTAGTTTAGTTGCAGCAGTAATAGCACACTTTAAGCCACCCCTAAAATGTCTCACATTGAATGGATGTGGTTTTAAGTGACATAAATCTGGCTGATGAGTCATTACAGTCTTCTCTAGACAGGCTTTATGGTCCTACCAAGCTATGTTCCCCTTTTAAACAAAAGGGGCGCATGGTTTTCTCCAGTAAGGAGGCTCCTTGAGAAAGGAGGTTTCCATGGAGACACTTACTTGACTTAAACGATCTGGCTAGGGCTTAAGAAGAGGCTGGGGGTAAACACCAGGCTGACACAAAAGCCACTATTTTACAAAGCAACTGGGATTGCCAGTGTTTTGTTTCCAAGTCAATGCCCCTTTTCAGGGGCCTGGTTTTGAAAAAGTGCCAAAAATGTTGCCTGGTCAGAAATGTGAGGTATGTAAAAGGCTGTAGCTTCCTAGCTGAGATCTCTGTTAGTATCCTAATCCATCTGTCCCTCAAAATGCTGTAGGTTGGTTTAAGTAGGACACATTTGCAGCAAAGTACTTGCTTCCTTAGACTCAGCCATCCTTGGCTGATAGTAAATTGGTCCAGACCAAAGCCCAAGAATAATTGTTTGAACCCCATTCCTAATTAAAAGCTTGCATAATTCATTTGTGCAGCAGATGACAACATCTTTGATGCCATAATTATTAAAGGTGAATTCTGATTCTTCATCTTTCCACTGTAAAATAACAAGACTTTTTAATGTCTTCGTATTTCAGTAGTAATAGAGAGCCTGTAGATGTATTCGTAAGCCCAACTGGATTGAGCAGATGGATAATCAATACTTTAAGATCTCATCATTTCTTGCTACTCATGGGTTATCGTATCAAAGATGGGATCTTAGAGAAGCAGTGCCAACTTTGACAGGGCATAGCCAACAGTAACGAAACCATAACACAGGTGGGAGCTGGACAGAAACTCGCTGCCAAAATGGATGCCTGCAGAGAAGTGGTGGGAAGAGCTACAGAAGAAGATGGAGTTGGTCCAAAGAGTGCTGGGTTAGGATGAAAGCAAAGTCTAAAACTTCAATTTCCCGATTGCTGGGGAAATTCAGGGAGTGCCACAGCAACCTGCTGCATCTCGTGGCAGCAACGTCTTGGAAGGAGAAGAGCAGAAAGGAGCCTGGGAAGAGGAAGAGGTGCTAGAAGTGGAGCCTGGAGCAAGAGTATGGCTGGAGTTAATCCAGGAGGTTCACAAAAATGACAAAATCCAGCTGAAGAGGGAAAGCAGGCACTAGAATGGAGGAGACAGCCTTGATGTGCCAAGGGACTGAAGAGAGGGAACAGATTTTGTAGGTATGTGAAACAGCAAATGTAACACAGGCTTCTGTAGGTGACAAGCAGCTCATTCTCTGTCTCCTTGCAGCATCAGTACAGTGTCTTTTCAACAGCTTTCATCTGTTGGCAGATGTTTTTGTGTCGTGTCCCACCTGGAGGTACAGGGGCTGTTGCAAAGTGCCTACAGTAAAAGCTGTGGCAGCAAGTGTGATTTTTACCACTCAGATGCAGTTAACACCCTGACAAACACCAGTCTGGAAGAAGGATCTAGACCACAGCCTGAGGAGGAAATTGCTGGCAAGGGAAATTGTTGCCTCTTGGATGTTTCTCTCCCGAAATAGTTTGGTGTCTGAGGCTTCTTGTATGGAGAAGGAAACCGGAGTAGGTTTGGGATAGGTACCTCCAAACACCTTCCCCAGCATCACTTCTTGTGGCCTCAGTAGGATGAGGCTAACAAGAGCAAGAGC